TGAGCACTACAAGAAATGTTAACTAAGATTCTTCAGGCTGGAATGAAGTGGTACCAGATTAAAGGTCAGATCTTTGAAGAGAAATTAAGTGGATATAGTAATCCCTTGGGTAAGTACTAGGATATTATTCCCCTCAATTCTATAAAGTAAACAGGTCTACTCAAACTAATATTTTAATTTATTTTGAGATTTAGAGGTGTTACATGCAATTCACTTCACAGCTATAGCATATAAAGGATGAGACAGAAGAGATACATGAACAAGTATGGTTGAAATGTTACTATACATAAGTAGTACAATATTAACTGCTAAATGAAAAATTATGTACAGTGTGATTTCTATAGCAACAACCCAAAAAATATAAAAAATATTTTAAATTAAAACACATAAAGGAGAATTCTAATACATTTACCAATTCAAAAGTTAGGACAAAAGAAATAAAGGACGGAAAAGCAGAACTTAAATCAGACTGCATCAATAATTACACATTAATGGTCTAGTATTTTCATACTGGCAAAATCCAACTATATGCTATCTCCAAAAGGACTAAAATTATGATACAGTTAGGTTGAAAATAAAAAGGATACGCCATGAAAGTAGTAAGCATAAGAAGGGGGAGTAGATATATTAACATCTGAGAAAACAAACTTCCAACAAAAATATTACCAGAGATGAAGAGGGGCACATCATAATGAAAAAAGGGCTCAATCATGAGAAAGACAGAACATAAACATGTAAGTACCTGAAAGTAAAGCTTCAAAACACAGGAAGCAAAAACAGAAATAAAGAGTGAAATACACAATTCCACAATCACGCTTGGAAATAGTTTAATACTTCATCTCAGCAACTCATAAAAGAAGTATATCATTAATTAATTTCACTAAGTTAATTAATTAAAAATCAGGAAGGACAATCTAAACAACACCCATCAACTAGCTTAACCTAATATTTATAGAACATTATCCAAACAACTGCAGAATAAAGATTCAAGTGTAATTTACCAAGAAGGTCCATATGCAGAGCCATATATAAGACACAAGAGATTTATTTTTTTAAATAAAGATTTTATTTATTTATTTTAGAGAGAGAATACATGGTGGGGAGAAGCAAGCAGCAGGAGAGAAAGAGAGAAGAGAGAAGAGAGAAGAGAGAGAGAGAGAGAGAGAGAGAGAGAGAAAGCAGACACCTGATGTGAGGCTTGATCCAAAGACTGGGAGATCATGACCTGAGGTGTAGGCAGATGTTTAACCAACTGGGCCACCCAGGCAACCCTAATACAACAGATTTAAATGCATTTAAATTATACAGAGTAACTTCTATGACCACAATTAAATTAAGTTAGAAATCAAAACAATAAGATCTCTAAGGAGCATCTAGATAGCTCAGTCAGTTAAGTATCTGCCCTCAGCTCAGGTCATAATCTTGAGGTCCTGGGATGGAGTCCCATGTTGGGCTCCCCTGCTCAGCAGGGAGTCTGCTTCTCTGTCTCCCTCTTCCTCTCTCCCACCCCACTGTGCTCTCTTTCTCAAATAAATAAATAAAATCTTTTTAAAAAAAAGACATCTAAGAAATCTGATTCTAAAATTTGGCATATTAAACAACACAATTAGAAATAACTGATTTGTCATAGAAAATATCCTAAAGAAAATTATAAAATGTTATTACTAAATGCAGCTAAAGACAAAAGTTAGTTCTTTGAAAAGATTAACAAAATTGATAAATGCCTATCTAAATTGATTAAAAAGAGAAAACAAATATCAGGAATGAAAGAGGGGTTAGCACTACAGAGCCTAGAAACATGTAAGGCATAAGAAAGTAGTGTGTACAATTGCACACCAAAAACTTTGATAACTTCCACAAAATGGAGGGATTTCTTAAGAATACTATTAACTAAAACTAACACAAAATGAAAATAAAATCTGAACAGCCATAGTACACATTTATGTATATATGTAAAAAATTGAACTTTTTATTAAAAACCTTCCCACAAAGAGAATTTCCAACCCAGATAGTTGCATAGGTAAATCTATTAAACATTTAAGAAGTAACACCAATTTAACACAAATGCTTTCAGAAAACAGAGGAAGGGAGACTATTTTCCACTTCCTTTTATGAAGCTAGATAACTCTAATACCAGATACAGCTAAATATAAAGAGGAGAATATATGACCAAGGACTATCCCAGGAATTCAAAGTTGGTTTAACATTTGAAAACCTAACAAGTAATTTACCATATTAACAGAACAAAGGTGAAAAATGTTATCTCCACAGATGAAGAAAAAGAGTATGTGGCAATATTCAACACCCATTCATGATAAAAACTCTAAGTAAAATAGGAAAAGATCAGAACTTCCTCAACCTGACAAAGGCAACTGATGAAAAATCTACAGCTTGTTAGCTTGTTAACACCCCACTTGATGAAATATTTTTAAAATGCATATTACAAAAACCTTTAATGGAAATCTAGAAGACTTATAAAATATAGATGGAGACAATCGTTTTAACAAAAACTATAAACCCAAGAGTTATAAAAAATTGTTTGAATATATAAAAATTTAAAACTTATGAATAGGGCAGCCCTGGTGGCTCAGCGGTTTAGCACCTGCCTTCAGCCCAGGGTGTGATCCTGGAGACCCGGGATCAAGTACCACGTCAGGCTCCCTGCATGGAGCCTGCTTCTCCCTCTGCCTGTGTCTCTGCCTCTCTCTCTCTCTCTCTCTGTCCGTCATGAATAAATAAATAATTTAAAAAAACTTATGAATAAAAATTATTATAAATAAAGCAAAAAAGCAAATTTAAATGCCATATATATATATATATCTTGAGGATATATATATGCCATATATATATATATATCTTGAGGATATTCAAATTCACTGGTCAGAAAACACAAATGAAAAGAGCAATGAGTAACACTTCAGAGTTATCAATCAAAAATTAAATAGAACCTATACCTCCAGACAGTGAGGTATCTCACACATTGTAGGCAGAATTATGATGAACTACAGTCTTTTTGGAAAATATCTGGGGAATAACTATCAAATGTAAAATGCATATACCCTTTGATCCAGCATTCCCACCCCTAAGAATCTGTCCCCCCCAAAATTAAAAAGACATAGTCTCTGGATCCAGCAATCATATTCTTGAGAATCATTTTCAGAGAAAAATTCCACTACACAAGAACATATATATAGGATACTATTATAACAATATTTATGGTAGCAAAATTATGGAAACAAATACGACTGATAAGGAATGTTAGAATAAATTATGGTATAACCTATGCATAGCATCATAACCAACATATTATAGTTATGTTTCACTATGTAGTTATCACAAAGCTTTATCAGATGATCCAGAAGAGTACGTCCATGAAATACTGTTGAATGAGAAAAATAAAAGGCATAAAAGCAAGCATCCAAAAACCCCACACAAAATTTTAAAAGCTTCACCAAAACATGTTCTTCTGTATGCTGCATCATATTGTAGATAATAAATATGCCTGGTTGTTAACATGGGTTAACTCTCAGGCAGCAAGAGGGGAGAAAAGCCTATATATGAGGGACATCAGGAGACTCCAACCAAAAGAAAAATAACTTTGAAAAAATAGGTAATTGTATTTATGATCTATAAACTCAAATAAAATAGGTATCTGTATGAATATATATATATGTATATGAGGAAACTAAATGAAAGTTAAATTTATAAAATGTTCAAGACATGAATGTTGAAAACTTTTCTACTTTCATCTCAATATGAATTTGAAGTTTTGTGATTTAAGCTGGATTTTGTTTTCTTTCATTAAAAAAAAGTTCTGTTTTTCTTCATTTCAGAATTAAATTTTAAATTAAATTCTTATTACATAAGAAAGTTATATGATTCTGGCAATTGTACTGAAGGAAACATCTGAAAATTTGTCATAAAACTAAGGAATGAGAACAGGTACATACACTTCATTTGGCCATTTCCTTTTGTGCAGGTGACTCAAGAACTTCAGCCAACTTATCCCCCTTGCAAGGAGGTAATTTATATTATACGTAGTGCATGAAATTGGAGAAGAGTAAAGTTAAATTTAATGTTCAGTATTAAATATTAACTCCTCGATGGAAATCTAAACTCTATAAAACTCTTCATTAGAAAGACATGACTAAAATAGATTAGTTTTTTTCAAATAAAGTTGTCACAGAATCACAATTCCAGAAAAGTAAATGCTCCTTTTATTCTAAAGGGCCTAAGGGCAAGGAAAACAAGAGTCAAATTTTCATTTAATTCCCAACTCCAACATTAAGGAGAATAATAAACTTCATTTAGAGAAAAACCCAAATAGCAAAAGTTTCAGTCAGCCTAAGTTACTTCAATGCACATGAAATATACTGACATTATTCATTAAATTTTTAAAATTTTAATTTTATGTCTTTGGATGATTTATAAAGTCATCACAGAATTCTTTTCCATCTAAGTGAAACCTGTGTTTTCTATTAGAATGAAAGAGTGTAAAGAATGTTTAAGAGTTCACTTTGAATTTCAATAGTACAAATACTATAATAAGGACCCTCTAGTCAACATTACGAATTATGTCTTCCCTCTTCATTCAGCAATAGGAAACCCTGATTTTAAGGTATAATTATGTTCCATTTTAACTCAGATGATCAACAGGTGATATATAAAAAATTAGAGAGGGAAAGCACTTTAAATCCATTTCAGCACAAAATGGAAACGATAAAGCAAATAAAAAATAAAAAACAGGTGAGGAAAAGAAATCCAGACTTAGGGAAACAAGCAGGAGAGACTGGAATACAGTAAGGCAAGTGAACTGCTACAAATAAAGAACTTCTATAGAAAAGCAAAGAATGTTTTAAAGAAATATATTTCTGAATATACGTAGAGAAAAACAATTTAAGTCATAGAAAGTATGGTGGGGGAAGATCATTAGAAATTTCTAACATTAAGTTAATCTAATTCTTTCAGAACAGGAATAATCATATAAAAATAAAATTTACCTTTTCAGATTCACCATTGCCCAAGGAATCCCAGTAGGTGTGTTAAAGGCCGGAAGGAGTTTCTCAGCCAGTTGAACTGCTTTAATCTTGAATATCTGACATTGAAACAATATAAAAAACATTTTTATAAAAGAAAATTATAGCCACCCATTCATAAATTATAGCTATTACCATTTGCTGATCTCTCATAGGATGCATACTCCATGGAAGAAGTATAAAGAGGAATAATGGCATCTCTTTGTACCATGGAATGCACAGCGATCAGAGAAAATGTTTGTAAACTAAAGAAAGCTATCAAGTGTAATGGCCTGAAATTATAATTAATTGAAAGGGAAGGATATAGTTTTGGTGTTAATATTATCTGTATTTTCAGGGGCAAAAGTCTTAAGAGAAAACGTCAGGTTACAAAATGTCCATCCACGGGTACATAAGCTTAGTACAAATATTAAAACAAAAAGATGCATCCCAATTTGGAAAAATCCCTTGAAATATGATAAGCATGTTTATGTATCAACATTTTCCATCAAGGTTTGTCCACATTATTAAAAAGAAAAGGTTTGAGTTCACATTTCAACTCTGAGAATTATAAATGCTTCTCCCCTCAACCCTAATTACTGTTATTTTGGGTACCCAAACAATAAATTGCCTTAATATAAGTGGCTTCTGAACTTTTAAAACCATGTACTACTACTACTAAGATATACCTAGTAAAATTTCTTCTTAGTATATCCAAATAGAAAGGTTTGTGTATCCCACTTTGGAGAATGTTGACTGATTTAGAGGCTCCAAACTGAGATTAGGTCACAATGTCCTATTAGGAAAGTGGCAAGTTCTCCTGTATGCTTGAAGCCTAGCTTCTTCAAGTTGATTTCAAACTAATCAGAAAACTTAAGCTTCCACCTTTTCACTGTGTCTAATGTTTTTGATAAAATACTATTAGATTCTTCAAATAAGCAAGTAGTTGAAGGTATGGAAGAGATCAAAATCTACATTAAGGTTCCACTAAACAAAGCACCCCAACGTTATTGGGAGTAGAAGATATTAGAAATATTTGCAAGCTGTCAAAGAAATATGTTAAGATGTCTTGCAAGGTTCCTTAAATGAGGCAAAACCTCCTAGTAGAACTTTTAATTAGATATTCTCAAACATCAATTTACCTTTTCCTTGTATACCTACTTTGGCACAAAGGTCTCAATGAAAAATGTGACAACTTAAGGTTAAAATTTTAATAATTTTCTTATAATAATCTCCTTAATTCAAAAGCGTATGTAAACTGTTCTCTCCATATTACCATTTACATGTTAGTAAAATCAAGTTAACATTACAGAGTGAACAGCAGTGCTGCTTGTGTTTACCATGAAGACAAAGGGACTAGGTTCTTATCTAATATTATCATGGATCTAATCATCACATATTTTTGTATTACATCTTTTCTACATATAAAAATTAATAGTCAAAATGGTAAAATGACTTACAAACATGAACATCTTCTAAGTAGAAAGCATTCTTATTTCACTTCCAAAAGTAAATTTCCAAAATATGTTTTCTAATTTTTCACCTACTTTGTGCTATTACTAACAGATAACATATATAGTAACCAGTTATAGCCCACAGGTCCCTCAAACACGACACCCTAATATCACTGAAAAAAATTCCTTATATACTTATTATATATATATATATATATAATATGCTTAGCTTATTCACAAATACACAAACTCTTTAATAACAAATCACAGCCCTACATTACCTATTTTCAGAAACATATTTTGATAGCAGCAATGGCTAATTGTAAAACACGTATTACTTCTTGGCATGCAACACAGGCAAACTAATACAAAATCCAGAAATTATCAAAGTAAAAAAAGTAAGTTTCTTTTCCAGTCCTATTCCTCAACCACACAGTTCCTTCTACAATGCAAACAGCTATCAGTTTCTCAAATATCTAGTAAACATTTTGTGCTGAATCAGTTCCACAATGTGCATGATTTCTAGCCTTATTAAATCAAATCCTCATTTTCAGTCCCTCTTAGAAACAGAAATTCTGTTACAGTTTACACACACACACACACACACACACGTAGAGTTTTGTCTCTGTCTCTCTCAAATATGGAATAGCAGGCACTCTATTGTGAACTTGCTTCTTTTATTTTACTGCACCTTGGAGATCTTTCCAAATCAGTCCCCAAAGGATGTGGTAACATCCTTCTATTTAGTGGCTGCAGAAATTTCCCTTGAATGGATATATTGTCATTTATTTAGTCAGTCCCCTATGTGATAGATGTATGTTTCCAAACTATGTGACTATGTAAGATAAATTCCAAAACAGGAACTGAAGTATCAATGGGTATATTCATTTGTAATTTTGACAGTTAATGCCAATTTGTCTTCCACACATTTTACTAATTTAGATTCCTACCAGAATGCACGAGTAGCCATTTCCCTGTGTTCTTGTTAACACAAAAGTTCTCAAAAGTTTAAGTGCTGCCAATCTCATACAGTCCCCAATTTACAACAGTCCTACTTAACGATCAACACCTTGTAATTTTTCACCTTTACAGTAGTGTGAAAATGATATGCATTCAATAGAAACCAACTATAAATTTGTATCACTTCCTAGGCTAGGAATGTGTGGTGGATATTCCCTCATGACACTAGGCATAGGCAGTGAACCACAGGTCCCAGTCAGCCAAGGGATCATGAGGGTAAACAACCAATATATTTCTAACCATTCTGTACCATATAGTCATTCTGTCTTTCACTTTCAGTATAGGATTCAATAAATTACAGGAGATATTCAGGACTTCATTATAAAATAGGCTTTGTGTTATGATTTTGTACAACTGTAGGCTAATATAAGTGTTCTGAACACATTTAAGGTAGGTTAGGCTAAACTATGACACTTAGTAGACAAAGTATTAAGTGAATTTTCAATTTACAGTATTTTCAACTTTTGATGGATTTATCAGGATGTAACTACCATTAGTCAAGGAAGATGTGTCGTTGAAAAAGGAGACTCCGTTGTCATTTTTATTTTCATTTCTTTTATCTAAATGTGGTAGATACTCAACATTCATTCAAATCTCCTTTTAAGCACACCTTCAAACACTGCAGAGGATGGAAAACTACGTAACACTTCCCAGAGTCCACTCCACCTACAGTTCAATATATGGCATAGGCATTGCCAAGCATATCTAAATATGCAATATTTGGAAGAGGCAAGCGATCTGAGGCAGTGGCCTTGCAAGCACAGTGGTGAAGGTATCTGATTCTTCTATTGTGGCTCTAACAGAAGTTCTAGTGACTGGTCCTCATATTCACAGAGACCATGTGGTGCAATAAAGGCAATCGATCAGTACATGGTATGGCATGCCTCCACTTGGCTGGCTGCGAGGTTCCAAGCTATGTAACAAAAATGTTTTATGTCATGGCCCTCCCACAGTACCCTGTAATAAACCACTAGGTAAAACAGATTCTACCAAGTTTATTACAATTCTTGATAAATAAGATGAGAGTTACTTAATTATTCACGTTTAAGATTCAGTATTAATATTTCTACAACATTTCACTTATTTCAAAAAAACTTTTATACATTCAATGTCCATTATGTAAAATCTCCCAGTTATTTTTTAACAGGAAAAAAAATGGTAGGCAATGGAAATATGCTAAAACTGGTTCTAAGTTTAGAAGAATTAGGACTGGAAGAATTATTCCTAAGTGTGGAAGAATTTGAAGAAATGCAGTTAAACAGATACAATGTGGCAAAATTACAAAGAGTTTTAAAATACAAGCAATGAAACTTACAGTAACATAACCCGTTAACATGGAAAACTACTGAAGATTCTTGAGGATGGAAGTGTTACTAGAATCCATGGGTGCTTTTAATTTTCTTTATTGGATTAAATTACTAATGTAATACTCATGCAGCCTGTTTTCAACTTAGCTGAGGGAGAATGTAGAAGTGAAGAATTCGGAATGCTCAAATGACTCCCCATCTCATTCAGAGTACAAGTCCTTTAAGAGACTTTAAATCTTTATAAGCGATGAGCCTCTATGACTTCTTGCCTCACTTTCTCCTTCCTTTCCGTTCCAGCAGCCTACTTCAGCTACTTGAGCTCTACTAACTGTTTTTGTTGTTCTCTAAGAATGCCAGTTATGCTTTTGCATCAGTGTCTTTTCATCTGCTATTCCTTTCACCTAAAAGCCCTTATAAAAAGGCTCTCGTGGGATCCCTGGGTGGCGCAGCGGTTTGGCGCCTGCCTTTGGCCCAGGGCGCGATCCTGGAGACCCGGGATCGAATCCCACATCGGGCTCCCGGTGCATGGAGCCTGCTTCTCCCTGCCTGGTCTCTGCCTCTCTCTCTCTCTCTCTCTCTCTCTCTCTCTCTCTCTCTCTGTGTGGCTATCATAAATAAATTAAAAAAAAATAAAAAAAAAAAGGCTCTCGTTTTCAGTAGAAGCCATTCTCATGGCTCTTTCTGATCTCCTTCAGGTCTCTACACAAATGTAAACCTCGCACATATTCCTTAACCATCTTATTTGAAACTAAAACCTCTTTATTCTCTTCCATGCTGTTTATCACCTTAGTGTTTACCAGTGATAGTGCATATATGTATGTAAACACACATGGGTTCTCACATATCCACCCTGTTCATCACCTGTTAACCTACAGTAGAATGTAAGCCATAGATGGGCAAAACACTTTTATTCACTGTGCTAGTCTCAGTACTTAAAAGAGTGCCTAGCATACAAGAGGTGCTCAACAAGTATTGAATGAAATAATTTAGGAAGTAAAAAAGTACAGAGATTTATAATAAATAAGTAAACTATTTTCTTTCTCTTCCATACCAGCCCCATATCCCTGAAATATCTGACATTAACATGCAAAGGTTTTACGAACTTCTTAAGATATATTCAGCAGAAATATTGGGATGATGACAATGAGACATATATTAACCCATTTAATTCTCACAACAACCCAATGAGATAAATACTGTTGCTCTATTTTATAGAGTAGGAAACTGAGGTTTAAAACAAGTAAGTTAATTTGCCCAAGGTCATACAACTAGTAAATAGTAAGCCTGAATTTAAACCCA